AATATTCAAAATTTGTGCAAGTTCTATTGTTGGGACTTTAAATGGCACTAATGTATGGTACATATGTAAATAATGACATTTGTTGTAGTGTCATCTTTTGTTGTTGCTACAAACATAATGCCTTTATATTGACCTTTCAAATGGGTACATCAATCACCATCATAGGGCGACAACAATTAGTGAATTCGTTGGAAGCATGTAAGGCAAAGAATGCGTACATGAACACATCATTGTCATTTGTCTCATAGCATGTGGTGGTTCTAGGATTTCCTCTCATCAGCATATGAAAATATCCAGATAAAAGTTTCTAAGATTTATTATGATCCTTGTAAACGAAGTCATACGCGACATTATGAGACTTTGGTGCTTTATTGTATTTGACTTGGTGTACCATGATCACGCTCCTGGTCACTCATTATATACCTCGAGGGGCTGAGCGACTGAGGTCGAGCATACATGTATGATTGTTGAATTTACATATTTTCCAATTGACATATTTTTGACACGACAATGTAAAAAAAAAAAGATTTCTGGGGTCCAAAAAAGATTTCTGCGACCAGAAATCCGGTCCCAGAAACCGTTTTTCGGATTTTTGGGATTTCTGGGATCCATAAACGATTTCTGGGCTCCAGAAATAGTCCAGAAACGATTTCTACGACCATAAATCATTTCTTGGATTTCTGGGACCATAAACGATTTCTGGGCTCTAGAAATCAATTTCCGATCCCAGAAATCGTTTTTCGAATTTTTGGGATTTCTGGGGTCCAGAAAGCGTTTCTGGGCCCCAGAAATCGATTTCTGGACCCCAGAAATTGACGATTTCTGATTTTTTTTTTTAAGAAAAATAGATAGTAAGGATAGTTTGGTATTTTTAGGTGCCAAAATGGCTAAAATAGATGTGTTTCCCACAACATGGCTAAAATTTATGTTTTACATTTCTACTTGGCTAAAAAAAAAATTCACTGTTTATTGAGACTTTTAGAGAATTCTCATTAGTGACTTTTTAAGACTTTCATAATGGACTTTTTAAAATTTATCGAGACTTTTATATACTTGTAGTTATAATATTATATTTCAATGAAAAATTAATAAACGTAACATAATAATTAATCTATATCTATATATATATATATATATAAAGAGGTTGTTGAAAAAATACATTAATAGAATGTTTGACCAAATAAATATAATGTTTGACTTACTATTAATGGAAATTTCGGAAAAAGACATGTAAATCTTTAGAAACAAAATCTGAATCCTATTTTTTCGGTAACAAATTTGGAGATTCTTATGACAAAATTTGAATCCCATTTTTTTCGTATCATATTTTATTTTTTTACCAAAATTTAAATCATATCTTTTTTGGTAACAAATTTGGAGATTCTTATGCAAAAAATGTGTCAATTATTTATGAAAACAATTCTAAATATAATTCAATTTAAGAATCGTGCAAATTGGATACAAATTTACGAAACAAATAGTTGTATAATTTCTAACCAATTCTTCCAATCTTAATGAATAATTTTTTCTTTCAAAAAAAGTGTGTAAATTGGTTAAAACCATGTGAAATTTTTATTTTAAAATAAAACTGATATTTGGACGGGATGTACATTCAAAATTGTGCCCACATTTTTTGGTAACAAAAGCGGTTCATCTTTTAAAATAATTAATTGCACACCATATTTAGAAAATTTTAGATATTTTAAATCATAAAATAGGATAGCATTTAATGCCCCTAAAATTATGGGTTTTGTTGAATTCATTTTTTAAAATTTTGACAGATATTAAAGTGAATCTGAAATTCAAAATTTCTTCTCATTTTATTTTTAATAAAATCTGCATCCAAATTTATGTGTGATTTTGAAGTGAAAATTTAAATTCAAAATCTCTTCTCATTTTAGTTACAAGAAAATCGAACTGCATTTAACACTTGGACCAATTTGAAAATTATTCCTTAAATGAAGGAATTTATAGATAATTGTTATCTCTACTAAATCACATGATTATTTTAAATATAAAAAGAGACAGATTACAAATTAGCGAATCATATATTACCTAATTCAATATCTTAACATTAAAGAATAAATCCATAGTATTATGTAAATCCGTATCTCATATTATTATATCATTAAGAATATATTATAGTTATATTATCAAATCCTTTAAAGATATTAAATCCATATTGTAAAAAAAATAATTCATATAATTTTATAACAATTCTACTACACTATTTAACAATATTCATTTTTATTATATAATAAAATAATAATTAAATATTGTATACTTAACAACAATAAGTAAAACTGTTACTTTCTCTTATATCAAGGGATAAATTTATATGCTAAAATTAAATTTTTATTAGTATAAATATTTTAGTGAGATAATATATTAATTACAAGCTAGCCTTAACATGCTCATATTTAATGTTCTTACTAAAAAAAACAACGCTGGTTAAAAGATGTGGAAAAAAATTATAATAACCCTATTGTTTTTTAGACTTAACGTTGATTAAAAGAGGTAGAAAATAGATATTAACCCTATTATTTTTTAAACTTAAACGGACAAGGGTGTGAAAATAACTTATTTAATATCTTTGTTCCGTGCATCGCACGGGGTACGTACTAGTATCAAGGAGAATAAATGAAAAAAACGTTTTATATATTAATCTTCTAAAAATTTATGAATCAACTCATTGTTATGCGAAATGAGTTATTCAGTAACAAATTGTTTAGGATTTTAGATTTATTAAATGAGTAAATCAATCTGAGCTTCAACGAATCGAACTATGAAAGATACAAACATTGTCGAAAAATAGTAATTATATTTTATAAAGTTATCAATAATATTCAAAATAATTCAATATCAACAAATAAACTATTAAAAAATAAAATAATTGATAGGTCGAAAAATGTGCGTGTATTATATGTTTAATAGTGTATTTTAATACACTTAATCTATTCGCACGTTTATAATTTTTGTTTTATTTATTATTTGAATGGATTATTTTGTTTTGATTATTTTATTACCTATTTTCAACAATTTGAAAAACTCGGAGATGTTAATTGATAAAGCCCATTATATTGGATAATAGGCCCAAAAAGAAGTTATTGGGCGAGATGCAATTAGGTGGGCCTAAAGTTATTGGATAATAGGCTCAAAATCAATCTATATGTATGTTTTCTTTTTACAATTTTCAGCTACCGAGATGGGTTTGAATGAGAATTAGTATTCGACCTGTGCATTTGCACATATATAAATAAATTATTGTGAGTCTGTATGCATATAATGATTAATTATTTTTCTTTCACTTTTTTGCAGACCAAATTTACAATTAAAAGAGTTCGAATATTTTTTTTTTTTTAAATTGTGTTTATCTAATTGTATGTAATGTATATTTTGGTACGTCTTTTATTTGTGAATTATTTATTATTTATTTAGGAATTTCAAATATATTTTTTATGTTAAAAAAAAATGTAACAACAATAATAACATCTAATCACATTATACGGTCAACACATTATATGGTCAACTGTCATTAATCAAAAGTTTAAAATAATTTTTCTAATTTTGAAGTGATGAGTATTAATTATTTAATGATTAAATGAAAGATTAAATACATCAAAATGTAACGGTTTTTGGAGGGAAAATTGTTAAATTGCCACATAGGTAAAATTAAATAGGTTTTATTAAATGTTATTAGCTAGTAATTATATATATATATATATAGATAATTAAATGAGAGGTTAAATAAATAAGAAATAACAATTTTTCGATGGAAAAAACTATATTGCCACATAGGTATAATTTAATAAGTTTTATTAAATACTAATGAGCCAGCAATTATACATATATATATATATATATTTTTTTTTTAGGGTAATGAGATTTGCAAAAAATATTGGATATTTAATATTTAGTTTTTATTACAGTTATGAAATGAGAAAGAATATGGCATAGTTGATTTGACCGACTATAAATAATATTTATTTTTTATGAGTGATGAGATTTGCAAAAAATATGAGATATTTAATATTTAATTATTATTAAAGTTATGATATAAGAAAAAAATATGGGATGTTGATGCTTTTTTTTTTTTTCCCAAAACGATAGAAATAACTATATAAAGAGCTCAAAGCGAACCAAGTTCGAATACATAACAGAACAACCACTGGCAAATAAAAAATGAGAGACACGCACGCAGGCGGTCTAGAACCTCAAAGATAGAAGTCAAGAGAAATAAGAAATAAACAAAAGAAATAACACCCCACCACTGCCCCAAAGCCTAGTAAGGGTGTCATTCCGAACAAGCAAACCAACAAACTGAAAAAAGAACAGACAACTAAGAAACAGAAAGGACCAACAAAACAAAACTACTAAGAAACAGACAACTTGGAATTTATATAAAGAATTTTTTAAAATTTTGGATTCCCGCATCTTTTTTTCAGATTTTCGCCTCCTATTCAGATAATTTCGAAACAGTAATTATCTCAACTTTTGGAATTGTAATTTGATAATTATAATTAATTGTTTTAGTTGATCTTTAATTTTGTTATTTTTGCAGGAATTGACCGGAGATGGAGCATCTGATTTTTTATTTTATTTTAAATTTATTTTTTTGGTTAGTTGTATTTGTTAATAATTAATTTTTTATTTATTTTCATTAATTTCGTTTAGTTTACTATGCATAGAAAAAATAATTTTGATTAAAAAAATAATTAATGAGAACTGTTGAGAGTAATTAATATGTTTAAAAAAATATGGAAACATTTTCATTTTCATTAACTCGTTATAATTGCAGAATTAATTGGTTGTCATTTTTAAAACACTCAACTTTTCAAGAAAATTGAGTTGTTTTTAATAAAGAAAATAAAAAATAAAAACAAATGAAAAGTAACGGAAATTGGCGGGAAAATGCCACCTAGGTATAATTTATGAGGTTTAATTAAATGCAGAAGAGCTAGTAATTATATATATATAGATTCTTATTGATTTTGAGAGACTGGAAATTAGTTTACACAAGGGCTAGCTCTTCCCCCTCCAATTGCCTCTCCATGGTCCGCGCCCTCCTCCTGCTCCAATTGCGACTTCTCTTCCAGCGACCCCAGCTCCGCAGCCGACTACCTCGACCTCAAGGGCCTCACTGGCGACCCCATGTCCAAGCCGTTGTCGACATTCCAAGTAATTCTCCGTCCCCAAGCTCTTCTGGAAATAGTAGAATCGCCCTAGGCGCCGCCGCCTCACTCCGACAGTTCCGCCGACATGAAGCGCGTGAGCTATGGCGCGAGGGAAGTGATCCGCAGGTATCTAAATGAAATTTTAGTTTTTTTCACACTCTTCAACTTTGTGGTAAGCAGATTTTGCTAAAGATTTTATTTTATTTTTGGTTAAAATAAAATAAATTTTTTTGGTTAAGAGCCTTTCTTGGTTAAATTTTTTCTATTTAAAACTCGACCACATTTCCACTTTAACCGCTCAAATCCCAAATTCGAGTTATTGATGTTACCTGTGGGTGTCAACCATTTAGCCATGAATTTATCGAAGTATATCAAGGGGTTGGAGATTGAGTATATGGACATATGACCATTACTAATTCTCTACAGGGATATTGAGGTAAATGGGACCTACCCACGCACTGTAGAGGCATTTAGGCAGAAGATTCTAGCTGTTGATAGCACTCTTTGCTTTGCCAGAGTACAATTATTCTGTCACTGGTACTAAATTGGTAACTTACGTTATTTGGTTTTGGAATTCTGTATAATGTGTTGTGGGATTGATCAGTTATGTTTGACTGCGTTATTATTTGCTTGAAGCTTTCACGTCAATACAAGATAATTGTTGTTTAGTTTGTTGTTTGTTTCCTAACCGTTAAGCCCGGATTTCCAAAGAGCCTTGTGCATTTCTTGCTTTGTGGTACGTGATCTTTAGATTTAGGTTTCTTATCAACAATAGATGTTTCATTTGGCAATGTTTGTCCTATAACTATGACTGGTCGGTGGACTCTTTAGTGTAATGTGAAAAATGGGTCTAGAGACCTAAGTACAGTATTAGTGTGCTTTCTAAAATACTCTCATTAATAAAAGAAGCTAAATGAAGTCAATGGAACAAATCCTATTTAAACATCACTTGCTCAGTTTAGTTTAGATGGTCACACTGTTCAAGTTCTTGACGAGCTTCACATATTTTCTCTGTTGCAATTTCACAATTTTACAGTTGGATTTTATTGGGGAAGATAGTAAAAGAAGAGACAACCATCTATATGGTTGCATATCCTTGGAACTTGAAACGTTATCATGAACAACCATAACTCTAACTTATTCATGGCTACTGAATTATAGATGGAAGATTATGATAAACATAGATAGCCATAACTTAGATATGCACTGTGGGCTGGTGAAAAAAGGCCGGCACACAGAGGAGATCGACAGAGGCTGCCAAGAAGAAAAAGAACCAGAAACAAGAAATCAAGGAGACCTTTTGACGTCGAGGTTCTACACGCCGAATTTCAATGAGATGGAGCAGCTTTTCAACACGAAGAGGTCCACCCGTTTAGTGCAATTTTCGTTGAGTTTCTGGAGAGGTCGTGTATGGATGAGTTTTCGGGTTTACTTCATTACAAGGAGCTCGGAGAGGCTAAAGGTATGATTGTTTTTTTTTTCTAAACTCTTGGGGCATGATTGTATATAATTTCAACAATAAATATCTCACTCAAAACTTAAATTTAACTCAACCTTAACTCAACTCTACTATCTCCAATATTATCAATATAATTAAATAATATCAACTAATCATTATTACACATCACATCAACTTTAATTCACTATTCATTCACTCACATAATTTTAACTAACTATCACTTCCAATCATTTTCTCCTACTTTTACATCAAATCAACTTTAATTATTTTAATTTAAATATTATTTTAATATATCCACTAACAACTAACCATACTACTTTTTTAAAACTTAACTATAATTAAGAAAAACTAGTTTTTTACTAGTTGAATTCATATCCAATCACCCCCTTGGTTATTACGTTATTAATCTGAACGTTTACTATATTTAGTCTAAATTGGTTGAATTTGGGGGCTCATTGATGTTTTTGTGATATGTAAGCAATAGACACTTTGTAGACTGGTGATTTGATCCCTTAGAACTTGCAAATTCCATCCTTCCATAGCCATTATCACAGTCTGATGCCCATTGGCATTGGTCCAGTAATTATCACCGTTTGATGCCCATTGGCATTTGTGCAGTGGCTTCAGCAAGAAAAAGATTGACAGTAAAGAATGTTTTGTCTATTTTCGTCTTTCAATACCTTGACGAAATTACTTATCGGATGCTTGTATTATTCTCTACGGAGCAAAAGCCCCTTATTTTATCTTTCTTTTTTTTTTTTTGTGTAATCTATTATGTACAAANTTTTTTTTTTTTTTGGTGTAATCTATTATGTACAAAAGCGTTTTGGGAAATCTTCATTCTTAAGCGAGTGAAAGGGCTTTTCATCCATTTTTTTCCTACTTTCGATAATCTCTGTCTCTTTCTTGAAATAACAGCAATATTTTATTTGTTGATGCGCTGTATGAAGAAGTGCAACGTAGGCTTTGTATGCTATATTTGAGTTGTGTTTCTTTCTTTTTAGCATTATTTTGTATTATTTAAGTAATAACTTACTATTAGCTTGTTTAGTGCTTTTCGGTCCAACTATTTTGCGGTCACAGTTTCGGCTCTATATTATTAGCTTATTTCAATTCTTAATAATATAGATGTGGATCATATTGTTTTGGATCAATATCGGTCAACTCATCTACCCTCAGTGTAATCATTTAATTAAACTAATCCTCAACGAGTCAAGTTTGTTAAATATCTTATTCTCGCTACTGCAGGATATGAAGGATACTCTAATATCTATTCAAATGATCTTCCAAATGATCTTCTTGATAATGTGACAATTGTGATGAGATCAATTCAGAGAGATTCTTGGCCCTTCCTCAGAAAGGCGTGCTTAACTCTTCTTGCATTTGTTTCTACTTTAAGAGGTAATTGCAATTTGGTTTAGTTTTTAGATATATGATATTTTACAAAATGTCATGGAAGTGTGTTTCTACTTTTAGAGGTAATTGCAATTTGGTTTAGTTTTTTGATATATGATATTTCACAAATGTCATGGAGATATGTGAAAAGCTGATTGTGGGGTAATCAGTTTCAATTGATTAATGTGGTTTTCCCATCTCTTTCACCCGTGTTATCATGAATGCATATATGTTGAGTTTGGTTTAATGATTGAGTAATGAAATCTTCCAACATTTATGATATGTACCTATTACTGTAGGCAACTGCTAAAGAACTAGATTCAACAGCTTGAGAAACATCTCCAAACAATAGGATTGAATGGACGCAGAAAAATGTCTTATTTTTCTGCTTCCACAGCAACTCCTGTGCCATTTCAGCATGACACCCCTTCAGCAATACCATCTACGATTGAATACAATCGAAGCCGAAGTGTAGATTCCCAGTTTCAAGCAAACAATGAGTCAAACATGTTACATATTTACACAATAAGATGAACATGTTATAAAATAAGATGAATATGTTACAAAATGAGATGAACATGATATAGAATAAGATGAACATGTTACATTGTAAGATGAACATGTTATAGAGTAAGATGAACATGTTACATATTTACACAATAAGATGAACATGTTATAAAATAAGATGAATATGTTACAAACATAAGATGAACATGTCCGTAACATGTTCATCTTATTTGATAACATATTCATTTTATTATGTAACATGTTCATCCTATGTCAGTATAATAAATTGATTACGAAAAAAAAATTAATTATGTTAAAAAAACCTATCAAATGTAATCTCTATTTATAGACAATGAAAATTTATGAATTTTGGTATATTTATTTTTTTATTTTAATATAAATTATTAATGATATTTTAATATATCTAATATGTCTCATTTTCAATTAATAAAAAATGAAAGTGGCATGTGTGCTACACTCTCTCATTTTTTTGGTTTTTGGGAGTGATTAGGCGCGTGCATAATTGCTCTGGCACAACTAAGGTGTGCCCACGGTAGTGGTACTGCATTGGTACAACTTCTGCCGCAATTTCTTCATTACCAGAGAGTTGTTGGCCTTGCATGGCCCACAGTGTCCCCACAGACCCAACTCTGGCTGAGTAGTTTATCTTTATTTTCCATTTCTTAGCTTTATCTCTAAGATGTAGTTATCTGTTTTCTATGAAATTCATGAATTAAAAGATTATCTCTAAGATGTAGTTATCTATTTTCTATGGAATTCATGAAATAAAAGAACATTTGCGTTGNTGTTCTTTTATTTCATGAATTCCATAGAAAATAGATAACTACATCTTAGAGATAATCTTTTAATTCATGAATTTCATAGAAAACAGATAACTACATCTTAGAGATAAAGCTACGAAATGGAAAATAAAGATAAACTCCTCAGCCAGAGTTGGGTCTGTGGGGACACTGTGGGCCATGCAGGGCCAACAACTCTCTGGTAATGAAGAAATTGCCGCAGAAGTTGCACCAATGCAGTACCACTACCGTGTGCCCTAGCACACCTTGCTAGGTGTGCCAGAGCAATTATGCACGCGCCTAATCACTCCCAAAAACCAAAAAAATGATAGAGTGTAGTACACATGTCACTTTCATTTTTTTTAATTGAAAATGAGACATATTAGATATATTAAAATATCATTAATAATTTATATTAAAATAAAAATACCAAAATTCATAAATTTTCATTGTCTATAAATAAAGACCACATTTGATAGGTTTTTTTAACATAATTAATTTTTTTTTTCGTAATCAATTTTTTATACTGACATAGGATGAACATGTTACATAATAAAATGAATACGTTATCAAATAAGATGAACATGTTATGGACATGTTCATCTTATGTTATAACATGTTCATCTCATTTTGTAACATATTTATCTTATTTTATAACATGTTCATCTTATTGTGTAAATATGTAACATGTTCATCTTGCTATGTAACATGTTCATCTTACTATGTAACATGTTCATCTTACTATGTAACATGTTCATCTTATTCTATAATATGTTCATCTTACTAAGTAACATGTTCATCTCATTTTGTAACATATTCATCTTATTTTATGACATGTTCATCTTATTGTGTAAATATGTAACATGTTCATCTTATTCTATAACATGTTCATCTTACTATGTAGCATGTTCATCTTACTATGTAACATGTTCATCTTACTAAGTAACATGTTCATCTTATTATGGATATGCGCCTTCATCTTCCAACAAAATAAATTAATTATGAAAAGTGATAAATTAATTGTATTCTAAAACTTATCAAATGTTGTCTCTATTTGTAGAGAATGAAAAATTATGAATTTTGGTATTTTTATTTTTATTTTTTAATATAAAATATGAATGATAATTTAATTTATATAATATGATATATAAAATTCATTATCCAATAGAAATGGGACACATGTCCCACTTAAAAGAAAAAACCTTACCTCACGCGTTTTTTTGAGGGAGTGTATTTTACAAAGCCTTGGCACACCTAGCAAGATGTGCCAGGGCGCACCTAAGTATTTGCAGCACCAACGGCCCAATCTTGTTATCCACTTGTGGTTATCGGTATGGGTCCAATGATAAGAGATTGCACCTGCCTCACTTCTTATGCCGCCGCAGGAAGGAAAAATGCACACGAACGGCGGACCGCCCCCTCCCCCGCCCCCTGAATCTCCCGATACCGCAGTCGAATCCCCCGATCCTCCCTCAGCCGCCTTCTTGGCCTTGTCCCCGCCGGATCTCGATTCCTTAGGCGNCAAGGGACTGAAGGTTGCTTCTCCTCACACTCACAGCACCTCCTCGATCCAGACGAAGCGGAAGGGGGGTAAGGGGGTTCGGGGGAGGCTAAGCCTAAGGGGTTTAAGCCGGGTTCGCCTAAGGATTGAGATTCGGCGGGGACAAGGCCAAGAAGGCGGCTGAGGGAGGATCGGGAGATTCGACTGCGGTATCGGGAGATTCGTGGGGCGAGGGAGGGGGCGGTCCGCCGTTCGTGTGCATTTTTCCTTCCTGCGGCGAGATAAGAAGTGGGGCAGGTGCAATCTCTTATCACTGGACCTATACCGATAACCACAAGTGGATAGCAAGATTGAGCCATTGGTGCCGCAAATACTTAGGTGCGCCCTGGCACATCTTGCTAGGTTTGCCAAGGCCTTTGTAAAATACACTCCCTCAAAAAAACGCGTGAGGTAAGGTTTTTTCTTTTAAGTGGGACATGTGTCCCATTTCTATTGGATAATGAATTTTATATATTATATTATATCAATTAAATTATCATTCATATTTTATATTATAAAATAAAAATACCAAAATTCATAATTTTTCATTCTATACAAATAGAGACCACATTTGATAAGTTTTAAAATACAATTAATTTATCACTTTTCATAATTAATTTATTTTGTTGGAAGATGAAGGCGCAGATCCATAGTAAGATGAACATGCTACATAGTAAGATGAACATGTTATAGAATAAGATGAACATGTTACATATTTACACAAT